CTGGCGCGAAAATCGCTAGCTCGGGAACCAAGAAAGCTGGGAGGCTGAAACTTTCAGGAAATGCTCTCAACTCATCAACAACTTAAATTTATCAAATTCAACCCCCTCCCTCCCTCCTCCCTTTATGCGTGGTTGCCACGTACAGCCGCGAGACAGCTATTAGTAATTGTCCTGACACGATTATATTATTTGTATGCCATTTGTGAAGTACGTGCGTGCTGAAGCTAGTACTTGAAACGAATGTGCGCATCGTAGAAGGCTTGGCTGCTTCTCCTAGCGGGGCCAAACGTTCAATTTTCTGCTGCAGTTCAAATTGAGTCATGCAAAATGTCAAATTCTTGGATCCATAAGCACTAGGAAGTCAAAATCGTTGACTTCGGAAAGTTTGGGGAAGTATAATCGCATTAGTTGCCCCAACATTGTTTAAGAAATTTCTGGCTGGGGATTTAAGAAACGTATGCTATATGATGCAGGTTTTATTGCGTTTGCAAGGCCGACCACACGCGCCGCTGATGTGGGGCTCTGGCACGGAGCGTGACCTGAATTACATCGTCATGCAGTTATTATCAACGAATGTTGCTGACCTCAGAAAACTGTGCCCCGTGCGACGGTTATCGAGCTCCACTTCAGGACGAATTATGCAGCAGGTTACCTCCAGCTATTGGCATAGGAAGACAGGAGCAGGCAGGCCTCTTTTTTGGAAGTGAAAAATAAACTCACTTTGGATCTCCACATCGATTGTTTACCTCAGTGAAATATACCATTACTATCTGAACAAGTGGTCTGGGTATCACTTGCCCAGTGATATGACTGATACGCTCACAGAGGCCGAACGCAACCATTTCTGGCGCTTCGATTTTAGGCTGTAACCCCCAATTAGCATTCGCGCGCTTGTTTGGATGCAGTTTCCAGAATAAAAAATTTTTTGCTGAAACTTTTAGACATTTTAGGAGTCTATCAGTTATAATTTCTTTCATAAAGTGACGTAATGCCATTTTGAATTGCAGGCAGTAGCTGGACTCCGGGATATGCATAAAGTAGGATACATTCATCGAGATGTGAAACCAGCCAACATGTGTTTTGGCTTGACTCATAAAGTAGGTTGAATTCACTTGATAAAAGTATGAACCGTAGCCGTAATTCTGAAAACAAAAAATCCCTTCTTATGCGTTTTGTGCTGCAACAGTTGCAGTAACCGTATGTTGTTAACACCCTATTTGTATGTGTGTGTGTGTGTGTTCCGAGTGCGTTTATCCGGCTTTTCAGCTCAGTAGCCAGAGAAGCTGGGAGGCTAAAATCGTAGGAGGATGTCCGCGTTTGGTTTAGCAGTCTCAAATTTAGCTTCTGCTTACGCATTTTCTTAAACATGTCACGTGAAAGTTTTGACGCTCATATTAGTACTCGGAAATCATAAGAAGCTAAAATTTTGGAAGGATATTCCCTACCCGCGTCTAATCCCGCAAAATTAATTTCGGCCTTCGCGTACGTCGGCTGGAAGTTATGGCGCCAGAATTAATTATTCAGGAATCACAGAAAGTAAGAAGCTGAAATCTTAAGATAATGTTTCTTAACATATGAACACATTTAGAGTAGCAGGCGATTAATTATCGTGGATTACGGACTGGCACGGAAATTCCGTCAGCCGGACGGACGACCAGTAGAGCGCAGAGCTCGAGCCGGATTCCGCGGTACGTTGCGATATGTTTCGATGCGTGTGCACGATCGGATGGAACAAGGGCCATCCGACGATTTGATTGCACTGTTTTTCGCACTAATCGAGCTGCTAAATGGTGAATTGCCGTGGCGAGATGAGAAAAGCGATCAAAAAATCAAAAACGCTAAGTTAAATTTGGTAAAAATTCACTTTTTCATTGCAATGATTTTTCACAGTTTTTTCAAACCGCTCTTCAAATTGTAATTTGATTTTCAAATAATTTTTCAAATTGCAACACAGCAATCACACCCTAGTACTACAGGCGGTGTCATGCAAAAACTCATGACTGCGCCTTTAAGCCTAAGGTTATGCAAAGCAACTTAGGATTAGGCTAGAAAGCACCAGGTTTGTTGGTATGATCATGCGTTTTTGCACCAAACTGAAGCAGTCAAGTCGTCAACTGTATGAATGACCAATACTTTATATTCAACTTGTGCACTCATTAGTGCAAATCATTCTAAATCTTACATAAAGGAAAATGAACGATAGTTCATTGAAAATAATCTAGCTTTCCAGTGAGCAATGTTTCCGTCGAAAGTTCTGCGTGTCTGCACCGTGAGAACCACGCATACTTGGAGG